TTACTGCTAGTATTCAACCTGAAAAAAACATATTTAAATTTGTTTTGGCTGAATGTTATGTCAATTCTTATCAGCCACATATTTAAAATATGAATTGAGACTAGAACAGTTTACGCATACACATATAAACATACAGAAACAGATACACCCATTTATGGAAATTAGGATCAATACATTAAAAAGTTGTGAACAGAAATAAAGTCTTTATTTGCAATAAATAATTTGGTCATCCATATATTGGAGACCAATATTCAGATAATAAATATATAAACTAAAATCTTTTTCCTGGCAAGTTATCATCTACTAAACTTTCAACTACACTATTTAGAATAACTCCATTAAAGTAAAAACACATCAAGTGTATTCATTAAAAATGTAGGGCTTTTATTACTATTTATTTGTACAGTGTTGGCACTGATAATCCCTATTTGATTGGGAACTCATTATATTAGATATTTTTGATCACAGTGAAAGACAAGCTCCTTCCCAAAGTTCTTATAGTCTAAATTAGTTAATTAGGTTAAGTATACATATAGAAAAAGATCCTGATCTATCAAAGTAACTAAGCTCATATTTAACTTTACTTGGTTTTCCTATTTATATCCTTAAAGTTCATCTTATTTTAGGTTAATGGTTTTCAATCTTTTAAAATCTAGGCAACATTCATTAAACTTAAGGTATACCTCAGATAATACCACATCTTTGCTTTCACTTATTTTTTAACTAACACCAAAGAATATAGCAATTATTCTGTTGCAAAGAACTCAGAAAGACCAGAACAGGTCTCAATGTTTTTGACACTATGACTCATTATATGAAAGCTCTGGGTTTATTCTGTATATCATGTGTAGGTGTTTGCATATCTACCAGTGTTAATATGGCAGAGCCCCCCACAATACCTTGAAGAAGGTTCTCACAGCACCCCAGAATGCTATGGGACCCTGGCTGAGAATCACTAGATTATGCATTTTGTTATTTTGAATTCTTAATATAATTTTGGTTAGTTTTTGGTTTTGAATTAAATACTGTAAAAAAATTTAGTGCTGTATTCAATGTTGTATTTTATGTGAAACCCTCACTGAGGCAATTCCTTTTTTTCTTATTGACCATAAACATAAATAAAACTCCTCAGATCCATGTTCTAGATAATCCATTACTCTACAATAAATATTCTAGGAAGATGAGCTAGATTATATTGAAGTGATGAAATCTTCTGGGATAGAAACAGGAGACGCTACATATATTTTTCTCTTATGCACAAATACTGTCAATGCATATTTCAACAACAGTTTCCTGTTTACCCCTTTCTCAGTTTGAAAAATACACCAGATACAGTTACAGGTTAAGAGCTAAATTGTGAGTCATAACTGACGTATATTATGAGCTTCTGTGTATTTCTTTTGTTTCTGTTTTGTTTTCTGTCTCTCTCCCTTGCATTTAATTTTCCACCATAGGGCTTTCTAAGATTTCGCCTATTTTTTTCCTCTTGCTTCCTTCATTTTTAAATAATGTAGAGATCCTGGTATGTACCATCTTTGACAAGTCAGAATGATTATTTCTAGAGGACTGTCAGGTTAGATCAGCTCTCAGTCCTGTGGTAAAGCTGGAGCTGGAGTATTTAATTCTAGCACAACCTTTCTGAATTTGACAGCATGACACTGGGAATCTACTGATACATGGAGGAAGTACATCTGGAAATTGAACGATTCATTGAACTTTTGGAATATGCCTCTCCATGTTTCAAAATTTATTAACATTATGTATCTTTAATGACAGTGTAAGTTTTCGTAGAATTAAAACTTTTCAGAATATACTTTTCTTATAAGGATTCAAATAGTCTCAGTATGTATCTTGGTTTATGCATGGTTCTTACTAAATTGTGCATGCCTGCCTCAGGAGGGTGATTCAGAAATACCCTGTTAGGCATCTTGGATTCCTATACAGTTAATGAAAACATTTGAGAGGCACCTACATGCTGTATATAGACAACTGAGCATTAAGCACTTCCAAAGGATACCTGGGGAAGCTTAGAGGTGGCCAATGGGAACCATTAAAACAAAGAGATATAACTGAACTTTTGACCCCTCTCAAGAGCTTACATGCAAGACACTAGCAAGCTATCCATTGAGTGTTTCTATTCAGTTGTGATTCATAGTACCAAGACCAATTGCTCAGCATAAATGCATAATGGTTTCTAAAGATTGGTGTTTCTGAACACCTAGTTTCACTTGTCCACTGGATGCTTCCTCATAACCAGGGATCTTAGTTTTCTCTGGTTTAAAAAAAAATCTCCAATTTTCAGTTTAAAAATACTAACACCAAATCCACATTTTGCCATGATTAAAATGAAACACCACTAAATATATATATTTATATAATCTCTTTCACATAGGGTCAAAAGGAGAAAAAGAAAAAGAGACTGCTTTTGTAGCCTTGGTATTTGCTACATAACTTGGAAGAGGGAGTGCTGGGTTCCAGTTTCAGAAGCTCGGGTTGTTACTGGCATTTTTTTTTTTGTTTTTTTTTTTGCCTAAAGTAGCCTGATGTAAAACACAGAAACAGTGCCTGGAACAGGGAAGAAGAAACATGACAAGGAAAGGAGTAGTTTAGAGTTCAGGCTGTTCCCTGAAAGTTAAGAGTCCTATGGTCTTATCCCTTCTTCCCAGAATAGTTTATATTATGAGCAGGGATCCTGGTTTTCTCTGATTTAAAAAAAATCCCCATTTTTTGGTTAAAAAAAAGTAACTCCAAATCCACATTTTGCCATGATTAAAATGAAATGCCACTAAATATATATAAGACTGACTTTCAGGAAGTCTTGACTTTCTGGGTGCCACACTTTAGGAGGGATGTGTCCAGCACTGAGAGGGTCCAGAGGAGGGCTGCTCGCATGATCTGGGGACAGCAGGGCAGACCCTACGAGGAGAGGCTATGGGACCTGAACCTGTTCAGCCTACGCAAGAGAAGGCTGAGAGGGGACCTGGTGGCTGTCTATAAACTTACCAGGGGGGACCAGCAGGGAATGGGAGAGACCCTGTTCCCCCAAGCACCTCCCAGAGTAACAAGGAATAACGGCCATAAGTTGTTTGGGAGTAGGTTCAGGCATTAGAAGGCACTACTTCACAGTCAGGGTGGCTAGGATCTGCAACCAACTTCCAAGGGAAGTGGTCCTGGCTTCTACCTTGGGGGTCTTTAAGAGGAGGCTTGATAGTTACCTAGATGGGGTCATATGAGCCCAGTATTCTCTCCTGCCCAGGTCAGGTGGTCAGACTTGAAGATCTACTTAGGTCCCTTCTGGCCCTACATCTATGAATCTATGAACCGGGGATGGGGTGGGATACCCCATGGCCTATCTCACTCTGGCACTCGTCAGGGGTGGGGAGCACTGGTGCTCCCACCTGCCCCCCTGCCTGCAAGCTAAACAGGGAGTGCAGCCTGATAGGGGGTGCACCAGCTCTCTCAGGGGGTGCATGTGCACCCCCATGCACTCCCTATGCATCGTCGCTGTAAGTGAGTGAATCTAAGGGAAAGGGCTGTGACTTGGCATCAACAGGATACACTCCTTCTTTCTGGAATTTTATGCCATGTCTGCAGTTAAGTATTCATATCTCCAACTGGTCTCTTCAGTCATTTCTAAACTCCTCGGTGACTTCCGTATCTACTGGAAGACTGTTATCCTCATATCGAGGGACTGCCAATGTTGATTCAAAGGCAGTTTCTATTTATTGGTCAAATCCCAGCATTGCACTTTAACTGAAATAATTCTTTTTTGCTCCTTGCTATGCATGTGCTGCTGTATTGATAAAGAGCAATAATATCCCTTGTTATTCTATATTTCATCAGGCTAAATGTGGCACAATGCGCTAGTTAACTCTCATGTCACTGGCTTTCTATTCCCTTAGTCATCTCGATAATCTTTCTCTGTACCTATTTCAGTTCTTCTTTCTTGAACATGTGTGAGCAGAATGGTACATATTCATTCTCACCAGTGCCATGTAAAAAGGCATTATGACTCTCTTATCCAAAACATCTTCCTGGGTGCATGACATTCCAAGATGTTATTTTTCAGCTTCATTTTCATATCATATATGTAACCAAGTTAAGCAGAACATTTTTGTCTTTGTAATATCTGATTAGGTGATCAGTGGCATGAACTCTATGGCTAGGGACAGACATTCAAAAAGCCTGACCCTGAATTGGTTCAGTCTTTGCAGGTTAGTCCAACCGGCCTAGGTTGAGCCAATTTGCAAGTGCACAGACATTCCCTCTGGACTGCTGAAATGCAGGCACATTCCTGCAGTGGCTCAGGGTAGAAGCTGGAGGCACTAAAGCCGCCCTCCTTCCTTTCCACAGTGCTGAGCTGGGGGGAGGGGGCCAGGCCCCAGCAGGATGCTCTGATTAGGGAATGGCATAAACCTCCACCCTGCCTGCACAGTCCTAGGCTTTTCTCTGCTCACTGCTCAAGTGGTGGGAAAGTTGCCAGACCCCAGCCCAGAGCTAGCACTCTGAGGCAAAGCTGGGGGGGGGGGGGGGGGGGGGGGCTGCTTGTGCACAGTGCATGCATCTGATGTTGATACTGAGCTTTTCAATCTCCCTCTTCTTGCTTCTTCATACTGTCTGCAGCAAACCTGACAGGTGAGGGAGCCAGCAGGGAGTTAATAACACAGTGTTTAGCAGCCCATCAAGAAAACAAAAACCTTTCTCATTAGTCCAAGCTCTTCTTAAACAGTTTTCTTCAAGGAAGAGACAGAGGGACATTACCAGCTGACCTGTTTATTAGCTCCAAAAAGCCCTAAGTGGACACTGTCCTGTCTGCCTTTGTCCTGCCGCAGTGAAATTGGAGACACACACACAGACACCACCTTTCTCATTAGTCCAAGCTCTTCTTAAACAGTTTTCTTCAAGGAAGAGACAGAGGGACATTACCAGCTGACCTGTTTATTAGCTCCAAAAAGCCCTAAGTGGACACTGTCCTGTCTGCCTTTGTCCTGCCGCAGTGAAATTGGAGACACACACACAGACACCTTTCAGCATTAGGAAGGGGGGGGCGGTCCCTGCTTGAGCAGCAAGTGGTGGGGGAGGGTGGGATAGGGGGAAGCCAGGCAGACCCTGCTGTGCTTGCAGTCTCTTCTGGAGCTCTGGCTAGGTAGTAGAGGGGCAGGGCCAGCCCTGCTCTCTGGAGCAGACAGCCCAACCCAGCCCTGCCCAGGGCTGCAAAGCACCTGGTATGCTTGGGGACTCTGGTTTAACAGGAAGGGTTCTGGGACAGACATCACATAGGCCAATTTGACCCAAATCAGTTAAGTTTCATACAATATTCAACCAGGTTTATCTTAAGCCAGTTTCAGCCATTTTGGTTTAAACTGGTTTATGTGCACTGAACTTATGTTATGCGCACTGAACTTATGTTATGTTACAGGTATAAACCAGTTTCAATCACTTAAACCAGTTTATGTGTAATGTCTGTCCCTAGCCTACTTGAGAGAGGACAGTGAAGCACTTACCTCTCTCAAGATTTGTAGATTTCAAAGAGCAGAGTAAAATGTGTTATAATAAAAGTCTCCCTGTGCTTCTTTTTTTCCTGAAAAAATGCATCATATATTACAGTGTGCCAAATTCAAGAGGTGTTTTTGTTTTTTGCTTTTTAATGTAGTTTAGTAGAATCTTCTTTTGAATACTTTTAATAGTTTTGTACATACAGGAATATGTGGGATTTTATAGAGCTGCTCGGGTCCATTGCCATTTTTAGGATCAACACAATTTAAAAATAGAACCTCACCAGAACAACTGTATCTTAGCTGTACAGATTCCTAATTCCCTACTGATAGTGCAATGTCCTTTGGCAAACTTCCATCCAGTGTCTGATCTGGGTAGTTTTACAGGGCACTGATTTACAACTTTAATCAGCTATTGTGGCTGACGGATGCCTCAATTAACTTTAATTACATTTGTATAGGTAGAGATGCCCTGCCCAGGAACAGAGTGCAGTATTTGTTGTATAGGATTAGACCATTAATATGTTCAGGTGTAAGGCTGTAGCTCATGGCTGTGGCTATTGTCTCCAGTGTAATGTGAAATTTCTTTTTTATTATACTTAAAAGGGACCGTTCTTAAAATTACTCATGGGAGGTACAGGTAGGGTTAAAAGTTTTGGTTAGGTGAGTATAGGATAAATCTTGAGGTTGCCATATCTTTCCTAGTTTGCCCAAGATATGATTTGGTCACTGAGCTGTCACAACTACTTTATGTTTAAAAATCATTGTTTCTGAATAAAAGGATGGAAGACAAATCTGACAGAGATCAATTAGTTTATTGATTATGGCTATAAAAGACCATAATCAATCAATGACATAAACTATACATTACCAATACTTGACCTATTCCTGCCCGTGGTTATACCTTTGGAGCAAACTGAATGTATAACTTCACACCATTCTTTTTATATCTAACTTATTTACAACACACATTTCTATAGCATAAGCTCATTCACATTCACATGTGCATATCTTAAAAGGAGAAGTATCCCAGAAATACCAGGCATTCAAATCATTCTTATAGGCAACCATCTGGGATTCTTAAAAGAGGACACATAAAAATGCAAGACACACACAATTCATATGCCTTGACACAAAGAAATAAGATTTCTACTAACCAGTTCTTAAAATAGGTGACTAAAAGTTCTCACAAAATGTAGGTAGGCTCTTGCATACTTGCGCAGTATGGTCTACTACTTTTAAAATATTTTTGTCAACTACTTTACAAAGACTATGAAAACCTTATCCAAATAAACATACATGCTATCATAGATATCCAAATAATAGCACAGGTCAGCATCTTCTTTATTATACTAGGATTGTTGGCAATGAATACCTATTTGAATACATATCAGAAACTGTTTTTTTGGGATTTGACCCTATAAGCATGCTTCTTTTTGTACTTGTTCTATCCCAGTAATACTTAAATTATTTTTTTGTACATTGACACAGCTTCAGCTAGAGAATGCCTGCACCCAACTTACCTTCTAGCCTGGTAATTATAGAACTCTACTAGGAGATGGAATATATGGGTTTCAGCACTTTGACTAAACCCGTGTTTCCTATTTTCTGGGCAAATGCTGTAGCTTAAAGATAATTATTGTAAAAATGGCACCTACACCACTACTACTGCATCTTTGAGACAAGCCTGATTTTGTCAGAGGATTGCCTAAGTTCTGGAAGCCTGAATGGGCTCTGGAATGAGTTAGATGCTAAACAGCTGAACCCATTTGAGATAATAGCCGTGTAAGTGCTGGGCAAAAAGTCCAGAGGACACCTCTCAGCAATTAGGGATTGTTTCTATTGTCAAAACGTAACTTGCTATATTGAAGTGTACATGCCTCTAAAGTTAGGTATCAGCACAGTAGGGCATTTCAAGACCTGAGTTTTAGACTTGGTCCCTTAAATGCAGCCACTTTAGGTGACTATATGTTTTTAAATCTGGATTTTTTCTTCATTCTTCCCTTACAGGTATTTTTCTTACCTGTTGTAGATATAGTTTTCACAGTGAATTAGTTATCTTGGAAACAAACTATTAATTTAAAAATAAATAATAAATAAAGCCTTTAAAATGTATAGTCAAAAATCCAGCATACATTATAAACTAATTGCATCTCTTTAAGAGATCGCTACCCATGGCTAATTACTATTGTAGAGTGTGGATTACCATTCTACAGTCCACATAATGAGCTCTCAATTCCCTTTTTGGATTTCCTTTCTTCTTTGTAACCATCATCTGATATTTATAGTATTTAATGATAACTTACTTTTTTTCTTGTGCTGAAATCCTCGGGGGTGGGGGGCTTTAAGCCATTATATTGCAATTTTGAGACTGTCCTTTCTAATCAGTGTTTTTCATCTTGCCCCTGTTAGGCACTTTTTGTTCATTATCTTGACTGTGACCTTCGAAAGTCCTGAAAAAAGACATTTCAGAAGACACCATTTCTGCTTTTATTATTACTGCTTTGTGTGCATAGCTCACTTTTCTAAATGGAGGTTAGAAGAGCAGGAAAGAATTAGCGTTGGTAGAGTATTTGTAACTCTTATCAGATGATTTCCTTGCTGTCTTCATGCAATAACAGCTTCTAAAGGACTTATTTTTCTAATTTCTCTTTCACCCACTTCCTGCACCTGGGTTACATTCCAGGAGAAGCTTGTCAAAGAAAGGGATTAGAAAAATTTCCTCAAAAAGTTGGCAAACTTGAGTGAAAGGCAACAATGACCTTTCAGCAATGATTGCCAAGCACAGCTGGATTGATATCAGACATTGACAAGACTTGACTGCAGGAAGTTTTTCAGGTTGTTTCAGCCCATCACCACCAATAGCTATTGCATTAGCTGTGAACATTAATTAGGTTAAGCCAATACTAAGAAGTGCGCCAGAAGAATGTGATTAGAATGTCAGTGGATGACTTTCCATAAAAAAGTCAAATGAAAAACTTTTAAAGTAAACAAGTAAACTTGTAAAGTAAACAAGTATTTAATCCTCAGCCAGTAAATTGGAGAACTGGAAAGGAAAGAAAAATGAACCTGGAAATATAATGATATTACAACTCACCTCTCTTTTATTTAGTACTGGTATGAACGTCGATGCACATGCATTCTATTGTGTTACTGTAAGATAAGCTCTTTATCATTGTTTTCTAAGGTAAATGATTTAAGGTGTTCAAGCAACTAGCTTACAGTAAGTGCACTCATGCAGAGGTCAGAAAATAAAGAGGACCTTTTCCTTTTGGACGGGCAGAGTATACCTATGACAACACCAGCAAGGGCATTTGATAGCAAAACAAACATGGAACTCATTTGTAAACTTTGAACTGTAAAACAAATGGCTTTTTGTCACTGTTCTAATCTGCTCTGAAGCCTGCAAAGGTATAATGCTTCATCTAAGGCAACATAAACACTCGCAGAGACAAAAAAGTGTCTATACATATATCAAAGAATTGGCAAGGAGTTTGTATTAAAGGTACACAGGAGACTGGGTAAAAGACTCCTCTCTGTTTTCTGGTTGAGTCATGTAGCCTGGGATTATGATTTCAAGAATTATACCCATTCCTAGGGTCTACTGTTACAGATCTGGATATCCTGGTGACAGAGAGTAGCTATGGATTGCTAATTCATGACTGTGTGAATAACCATGTATGCCTTCAGATGCTATTAAAGCTAGGAACATGAATTATTTGGTTCAAGCTCTTTAGATTCAATAACTGTCAGTCTGTCTGGCTGCAATAAGACTTCTGGATCTATATGTGGGGTCTCAGTTCTAATAGAGGACCCAGGAAAGCAGTGATTGTATTCCCCTCTCTTCAGGGATTAGGGAATCCTTTGGGATCTGAATGTTCCAGGATTTTTTAATGCATTTTCGTTACTGTTTTTGGATTTTAAGGATAAGTAGAAAGGGGAATCAGTCTGTTCTTTAGTCATTTTACCTAATCAGGCCTCATAGCTAGTATGTATTTCGTAAAACATACTGCAATTCAAGAAGGCATGACAACCCATTTGATTGAAACTTGGGGAGTCTTTACTACATTTCTGAGAAACATCTGAAATGTGTAAAGCTGCCAGATGGAGCTCTATTCCCATTTTTTTGCTGATTAGCATTCTCTTGGTTTAGAAGCTAAAGCACATGTTCTTTTGGAGCCTGCTTATTTATATGTAGTCTTCAGCCTTCCTTCACCAAGCAATTTTCTGTGCTAGTCAGTCTCCCAAATGTGTTGTTTCTGAAGCAAATCTCAGTGGGGATCAGCAGGTTTTTCATCTGGAATTCTTTCAGTATGCTGCCTCTGCAGAATCCTGCTTATCCACCATTTTTAGAGTCTGTAGCTAGTATTTCATATATTGATAGTAAAAAGGACCTAAGAGTGATTGGGGCAACAGTCTCTTACGTAAACTTGTATAAAAGTGTCAGATTTGAGACGTGAAATACTTACAAACTCTCAACCTCAGCAGTCACAGCTTACTTGATGCCTGAAAGTCTCATGCTGCTGAAATATGTGCAGTTCAGAATACTGGCCCTTCAGAGACAGTGTGCTAAAACAACTCCAGTTATAAGCCAATAACTTATCCAATATATGACTTGAGAATCTTAGGCCTCATACAGACATTCAGTTTCTCTTGGGAGAGTTGCTGTTCCTACAGGAGAAACCACAAGTGCACCAATGTTCGGATTTTTTTCTCCCAGTGTAACAATGGCCAATCTGGGAGAAAAATTACTTGGGAACAACCAGGGTTGAATCACTCCCAGGAGAGATTCATCTAGGACTGAATGTCTATACAGGCTGTTAAAAGTATAGTTTTGCAGCTCTAATTAATTAACATTCACAACAACGGTGAATTGTAGTATAAAATACTGGAGGAAGTTTCTTTTAACCACTATGACTTTTGATATAGGTGGACTTGTCCATAGTTTACCTGTATCAGGGCATATTAAGTGCATATCAGTTTTTCAAGTGCTATATTAACAAATCCAAAACCAAGAAAAATATGCATTGTTGCAGTCTTGGCTTCAGTAAAGCTACATGTGTTCTGGCAATATTGTGTAATTGTAATAGTCTGGAAGCTGAGGAGGAGGTTTGCTTTGTTTACTCTATTAAAGATGTTTTGCCCACAGCTATTCCATGGCAGCAGTAATGTCCAAGATCTGAGAACAACAGAAAAAGTATTTGGACATTTTTAAAAAGTTTTTGTTATCTTTGCATAGAATACAGCAGCAAGAAAGTGTCATAACACCCTGCCCTGCCTTCTGCCTAACACTATATAACTAAGTATTTCCAGGATCTCAGGAATGATCCTAAGAATAATGAATTACTATCCATATCTTCAGGTGATGCTAAGCCCCTTTAAAATTCCTTCCCATCTCCTCACCTCTTTCACTTGACCTCTTTTTCTCTCCCTAGCAGTTTTGCAGTGGAATCCAGCTGAGCATAAGCCCAATTGATATCTATCTCAATTGATTAACTGTCTAGCAGATTTGATTTGGAGAATAGATACCCAAGAGGACTGCAATTCATTAGTGGTTGTCCACACGTGATTAGGAGCTGTGGGTGGGATTACCCCCTCCTTTAATTGATCCAATTTCATATTCCTCGTGGTCATTAAGTGTGTTAATGGCAAGTTAGCACCTGCATTAAGAAACCAACTTAACAACATCCTATAAATGACATTAAGTCAGCAGGAGCCAAATTTACAGGAAAAAATTGACATGATTGCTTCTGTAATGTTACTGCAGGAGGGATATGAAGTAATAAAATGTTGCAATTGTTTAATCCATCACAATCAAGCAGTCATCATTTGATGATAACATGATTGTTATATTATTACTGCTCTTTGTTACTGATTGCCCCCTTTCTACTCAAGAGCTTCATTCCTGTTTTATGTTAATAATGACACTTTCATACATTCTATTTTGCAAGGAAGTACAACTTTCTTTCTTTCTTTTTTTAATTTTTTTTTCCTAAAAAGCATACCATATGCAAATAGCAGTGTATGTTAGTGGCAGGTAAAACCAAAAAGTCTCTGTATGCTTTTAGGAAATCTGTCGAATTTATGTGGGATATTTTAGTTAAGAAATATGTTGTAAATCAGCTGAAAGGAAGCTCTGTCTCTAATGTGCAAAATATTTTCAGTGCTTCCTAATTCCTGCTGGCTTTGAAATAATGTAAGAATTAATTAGGATTGCTGGAGTATCTTTTCTTTTCTTTGCAATTCTTTTCTTATTACCCTGAATTCTAGAGTCTTTGGAATATATCCAGTGAAGAACTTAAGCTTTGAACAGGGCACTAAGGGTCAGATTATATTCCATTTATTAAATGAATAAATGTATTTAATGGCCTAAGTGGAATTTTATTCCACTCTGTTCAAATCCCTGAAAGAATGTTAATGTAAAGAATGGGTAGGTCCTTTTCCCCTCCCTACTTTTTTGTAACTTAATTTTAAAGGTCAGGTGAGGGTGTTACAAAAATAGATGCAATATGGATATGAATCAAATGGAGGCACTTAAGTTCATTTAGATACCCAATAGGTGGAGTAGAACTTGGCTCTACATGTTGAAGCCCAAATGAATTGCAAAAATCCCTGCTCAGCCACTGCTGAAACATGGTGACTCCTACAATAGATCCCTTACTTTTCTGACTGTAAATTTCCATATGTATGGAAAGTCGCTCCTCTGTATGTGCTCAAAATTCTTCCAGAGCAACTCAGGAACCTAGCACCTGATTGAGAGACAGAAATGAGGTGCATAAATTCTTTGAGAAGGTTAATGTTGGTGGCATTTTCAGGGCATGCTTAACACATATCTATAGATTCATGCTCCTTATAACATAGAGATAATCTAAGACAGCTGTAGCTTATGACAACTGAGGTGGTGGCAATATTCCCTGAAACTCTGGAGGGAACTCAAAATGGCATTGCTTTTTTGGAAAGTTGTACTTGAAGGGATCCCACTGAGCTCCCAGTCATGGATAACAGAAAGAATCAGAGTGTCAGAGAACAACATATACTCCTGTGAATGCAGGCCTGGTGTGGGGACAGAAATAGTGAGGAAAGAACACAGTACTTTAGACCAGTCCTTTGAACCAGGAACTTTTTTCCAAGTATGTGTTTTTATAGTACCAAGCATAGTTGAGATATAGACTTTTTGGTCCTTGGGTTAGGGTATTATCGCTGTTATATATTAAATATAAGAATTAAATGTGCTTCAACATAGTTTGAATAATTGCTAGTTCTTTGAAACAATACTGTTCAAATATATTTAGTTATTTTATTAGCATTAAAATACATTTATTAACATTAACAATATTTGCTTACATATATTGTTCATTGAATCTGCACTATCTGGGTACCTCCAGATGAACACACACGTGCATTTCCTCAGTGACAAATAGCAGCACATAGTTGTGCCACTGTTACTTGTCCCCAGGGAACACCTGTACACGCATGCTCTGGTGCACAGCAGGTTGCCCTGGGTGGGGTAGGGGCATCTGTGGCCAGCACTTGAGCTGGCCCCAGAAGCCTTACTTGGAGTCCTGGGGGCCTTCTGGGACTCTGG